TCCCAGAGAACTGGAAAAGGGCCAATGTGGTCCCTATTTTCTTCTGCCTGACTAATTTTGTTTCTTTTTATGACCAGGTCACAAAATGCTTAGACGCATGAGTTGAGGTAGATGTCATCTAGAAGCCTTCAACTGTCAGTATGTCATTCTGTTCTTGTAAATAAACTGGCAGGCTGTGATGTAGAGGATTACATGGTCAGGTGGGTGGCAAATTGATTAGGGGTTGCACCCAGAGTGGTGGTGGACAGATCAGTGTTGACCTGGAAAGATGCAGGCAGTGGAGTCCTGCAAGGCTTGGTCCTTGGATCGGTGCTATTCAATTTCTTCATCAGTGATTTGGATAAGGGCGTGGAGAGCACCCTGTCCAAGTTCACAGATAATACCAAATTATGGGGCAAAGTTAACACATCAGAGGGTAGGGAATGGATCCAGGTGGATCTAGACAGGTTGTAAAAATGGGCAGAATGAAATAGGATGCCATTCAACAAAGACAAGTGCGAAGTGCTGCACCTGGGCAAAAAGAACCACCAACACACTTACAGGCTGGGGGAGGACCGTCTCAGTAGCACAGCAGCAGAAAGGGATCTTGGAGTCATAGTTGACTCCAAGATGAGCATGAGTTGTCAATGTGACAAAGTGATCAACAAGGCTAACCAGACTTTATCATGCATTAGCAGATGCATGACGATCAGGTCCACAGAGGTGATGCTTCCCCTCTATGTGGCACTGGTCAGGCCGCAGTTGGAGTACTGCATCCAGTTTTGGGCACCACACTTCAAGAGGGATGCAGAAAACCTTGAGAGGGTCCAGAGGAGGGCCACTCATATGGTCAGAGGCCTGCAGGCAAGGCCCTACAAGGAGAGACTGAGGGACCTAGATCTCTTCAGCCTTTGCAACAGAAGGCTCAGAGGTGATCTTGTGGCTGCCTATAAATTCATCAGGGGAGGGCAGCAGGGAATAGGAGATGCTCTATTTACTAGGGCACCCCCTGGAGTAAGTAGGAACAATAGCTGCATATTGATGGAGAGCAGATTTAGATTGGACATTAGAAAGAACTTCTTCACAGTAAAGGTTGCCAGAATCTGGAATGGGCTTCCAAGGGAGGTGGTGCTCTCCCCTACCCTGGGGGTCTTCAAGAGTAGACTGGACAAGCACCTAGCTGAGGTCGTCTAACCCCAGTGCTCTTTCCTACCCAGGGCAGGTGCTCAGACTCAATGACCTATCGAGGACCCTAACATCTATGAATCTATAATATGGCCATCTACCATTCTTCCTAGTTTAATGGCATCCACCCAAATTCACAGCTGATGGAGGTCAGTGTCAGAGATTCCATCATTTTTGTTTCTGTGTAGAGTAGCTCAGTTTAGCGAAGGAAAGTTGGGGATTGCAGAGAACAAAAAAATAAAGGATTCATGGCATTAAGGCAGTGTTTCCTAAGATATTTAGATGCCTGACTCCCACTGACATGAGTGGAGATAGGCACTTCACTACCAAGGCTAATATAAAAAGTGTTATATTAAAAGGACAAAAAAGAGATGCACACACTTCACAACCAGGTGATTTGGGCATGTACTTGGGTCACAGGAAGCTTCTACTGACCCTCCAAATTCAGCACAGTAAGGATTTAAACCATAGTCCAGTCCAGGTGAGTGCTATGCTGATGAATTGGCTTTCCCTGATTGATCACTTGTAGAGAAAAATCAGCCAATATAATGGAGCAGCTCAAGAGGTCTGGACCCCTGCACGATGTGCAAAATGACATTGGTAACAAATGTTTTTTTAAAAGACAAACTGACTGACTTGGTAAGTGACATACCAACCATAGAAAATTCAGGGGGAAACAATTCACAAGGGAAGCAGAGAGGACACTAGAGCTACAAACAGAGGTCACATTTGTCCCAGGATAAACTCTAAAAAAAAGTTCACGGGATAAGAAGTAATAACAGTTTGTCTTGGGACATCACAAAGTGTAACTGAACTGCTGGCCTGGGATTGCATTATTGAATTAATGGCAGAAAAGCATCAATACATTTAGCAGCTGGCTAAATCCCAGTTGGAAGGGTGATATGTGTACATGCCAGTCCTGGGACTTTTCTCTTCTGGGACAAAGACAGGCACAACTTGTCCTGAGACAAATACAGCATCTGCTCCTACCCTAAGTGAGCTCAGACTTCACCCTGCCTTTGGCAATCAAATGGAAAGAAAAGGAAGTTAGGGCCTTGTAGCCCTACATGTGGAAATGGTGGCTCCCATAGTAGTTATTATCTGAAAGCTTCCAAATTTGTGGGGCAGAAAATGTGTTCTCTTCCAGACTGCAGATCAGTGCCTGAAGGACAAAAACCTTTGTTTTCTGACACAGACTTAATACAAATGGAAAAGTGATTGCCATGGGCCAATGACTGTGGTCTACTCAAACGGGTCTGAGGATAGAAGGTTTATGCTAATCCCCACATGGTCAAATGTGTGGCAATAATTCAGAATGGTGAAGGGAAAACTGTAGATGTGGATTATCTGGTCATTTGGCTAAAACAAGCCTAAAAGATAAACTCTTTAGTGCTGCTGGATCAATAAGAATTTTTTTTAACCTGTTGGAGTATTATAAACTGCATATTTACAAGGAGTTCAGCTGTTCCTATCACAGTGGCAAGCTTGCAATTCTAGAATATTTCGACACAGAGTGAACACCTGCATCAGACCTCTGAATCATTAGTACTTTCCAGAGGTTTTCAGTCTACCACTCAAGATTGCCATGGTAAGGGAAATTACCAAACCCTAGAAAATAAAGGGGACTTGAATTTGTGTTTGTAGCTGGGATTGATCTATTGTCTTTTGAGGAAGACCAAGAAGGTTCCATGACCAGGGTTCAGTTCCTGGGTCAATCACAGAATTATTTGAAGTGTCACTTATCTCTAAATCCCTCAATTTTTCTTCTGTAAAATGAGGATAATACTGTATAGAACAGCATGAACCTCTACCTGTAGCAGAAAGCCCCCTTTTCCTCTTGCCTGCATTTGCTCTCCCCTCTTTGGATATGTTTTTCTTCTTCTACCTTTTTTTCCTTCCTCTTTCTTTCACTATAAGATAAGGAATTGTGTTTTAAAGTTTGTATGTATGTATTTTGTACCTCCCCTTGTATTTTGGTATTTTTATCTATTTGTGTGCTATGGCTTTATCTTGTAGCTTATATTTTATACTCTTCACCTTTTAACTAAATGTGTTTAGTTTCAGAAGTAAGTTATACATTGTAACAATGTTCACAAAGGCAGGAATCAAACTGCAGCTTCCCTGTATCAGGTGGGCCCCTGAAAGAGCGAGTGAATCAGTGATTGAACGTGTAACACAGTAGCAGGCTTCAGTAACAAGGGTCAATTAACACCTACGAAAACTGCAGATCAACCAACGGAAGAAATCCATAGGAGACAATGTAGCAACTGGGAATTCTCTAAACGTCACTGTTCAAGGGCTAGAAGCCCCGGTCTGAGTTAATCAACGCTAGGGACCAACTTTTGGGGCTGAATATCTCCAGATCGACCACTCCCAGAGCCCTATTCATGACAGCGGTAAATTAATGAAAAGTCATCAACGGACTCCCAAACCTGCACGTACATGTGGATGACCCCTGGGGCTGACAGATGCCATCCAGTAGTCACCGAGGGGGAAGTCCCATGAAGGTCAACGACCCCTGGATTGGGCAAACCTGAAAACTGGGGAGTCACCAAAGTCTTCCAGGGACAGATAAAAAGCAGTGAAAAGTGACCCTCAGGGGCGCACTTTTGATCTCCAACTTGACCAGCACTCAACCTGCCCAGCCAGAAGGACCAGCCGGCGACCCCCTTCTGGAGGATAACACCATGCTGAAAGAAGCCTCGACTGGCCATCGATGGCAGACTCCAGCCCCTGTGGGATAGGTATACCCAACTCTTGTAACTTGCTACTGTGTGTGTGTGTGTGTGTGTGTGTGTGTGTGTGTGTGTGTGTGTGTGTGTGGGGACTAGCCCCAAGGTTTATGATTTGACTTCATTACAGTGTTTCAATCCACCTAATAAACCAGAATTTTAAGGATCCCGAGTTGGACATTTGTAGCCAACATACCCAGGAACCTCTGGGTTTAAGTCCCAGCAGGAACATTGGTACATGCCAATTGAAATCTCCAACTTTGACTGTAGCTAACACTCATTGCCTGAGGAATGCAAACTCCCCCCTGCCCTGATACACTGCATAACCCCTCCACCCCACACACACATACATGTGTTAAAACATGGGGCCAGAACTGCACACACTACTCTAGATGAGGCCTAACCAGTGCTGAGTAAAGCAGGATTATAACCTCCTGTGTCTGACACCTAATGCTTCTATTGATGCATCCCAAAACTGCATTCACCTTTTGAGTGGCTGCATCACATTGCAGACTCATGTTAGGACTCCCAGATCCTTCTCTGTAGTGCTGCCAGCCAGCCAGATGTCACCCATTTTGCATTTTTATTTACGATTATTCTTCCCGAGGTGTAGCACCTTGTAGTGAATTTCGTCTTGCTAGCTTCAGCCCAGCCTTCCGAATCCTTCTGAATTGCAGTCTCATCCTTGAATATGTTTGTAATACTTCCCAGTTTGGTGTTGTTTGTAAAGTTGCTCAAGAAGCTCTTCCCTTGAGCATCCAAATCATCAGTAAACACATTGAACAGCACTGGGCCCAGGATAGACCTCCACTCAAAACCTCCTACCATTTGGACATGCATCCATTTATAATTACCCTTTGCTTGTGGCTATTGAGCCAGTTGTCTATTCACCTTATAGTAGGTTTGTCCAGCTCACATTTCTCCAATTTGATCAATGATGGAGAGGCAGGAGAAAATTTGGGTGGAGGGGGAGTAGGGGACGAAACAGTGAAGACTACTGAACAAATAACCTTTTTTCTCCCTGTTGAAGAAAGCTTCATTTCAACTTCAGGAAATAGATGTTCTAAAAGCCACAACAAAGCCACAAACATGCTCTTTGGCAGATTACTTTTAAAAATCTTTTTAATGAAGAAATAATTCCATTCCAAAATATAGACACACAATTAAATAGTTTAATCACTTCAAAATATAACATGTCCCCAGTAGGTTCCAACACACACACAAAACAATACTTAACAGCAATACAAAAAACCCATACAATAGCAGTTCTGTTACAATACCAATGAATAGTGTGAAATCTTTAGTGTCTTTGTCTCAAGTGGTGTCAAGTACAGTAGTTAAAAATGTCTTACAGTTAGTAGCCTCAAGATGTAACTCTTCATACATTTTTGGTTCAAAGGTAAAAATTACTTTTCCCTTCAGGACACAGTGGAGTGCTTGCTGTTTACGGCTCCTTCTGCTGAATTGAACCAATGTAATTGCAGCAACCTGAGGTTGCAATATTTACAAGGTCTATCTACAGTAATCGCCAAGACCAATAAGGATGGAAGAAGATGACTAAAAGTAAAGGCAGACACACCTGTGTTAAATAATGAGGCAACAATTTGGCTCATGCATATAAGAAAATACATATTATATCACAACAAAGGCCACACACCTTTTTATGCAGTTTAGTTAATGTTACTACTTACAGATAACCCATTGTCCACCTTCATTTTGAACATTCAAGAACCCTATTCATCTTCACACTCCTGTTTCCTGCTTCTCAATTTCCCTTCAGTAACAGTAAACCACTCGGGGAGTTTTGACTGATGTGCTTGGCCATTTTGTAGTTACAAAATGGCCAGTGCAGGGGACCATTTCTGTAACTTTGCTTAATGACAACAAAACACAATCAAAATAATCTTTAACAAGATGACAAAGAACAGCTGGGTTAAAATGTAGCCAGCTTGATGCTTCAAAAATGTTTAAAATAGAGATCTGGAGAGCCAAATAAGAAGTGCTTCATTTCAGAGTTCTGAAGTACAAGAAGTCACCTAGAACTGTGTTTGGGATTGCTTTGCTGACGCCAGACCGAGAGAGAGGGGCTTGGCTTGTCAACGCTTGTCATTACTATGGGTCCTGAAGCCCTTCCAATGGATTCATACTATTGCACCTATTTCAGCCATGATGATGGTGTGTACACAAACATTAGACTTATGTAATGTAGTTATTACTCCAGGTACAATTAAACATGACATGGGTTGAATCAGTCAGCCGTGACACACAGATTTGTTCTTGCTCAGTTTGTCTTTGTTTAGGAAATGCTTGACAGGAATCCTGAGCTGACAGCAATGTTTATAATTTCACTGCAATAATTTTAAATGTTGAGTGCTAGGCACTAGTGGAGTCTCACCCATTCCTGAGAGGAGTTTGTAGGAGAGGTATGCCATCAAAGGGTATGATGCCTACCTTTTCTGGTTGGCACATACCACAGAAGCAAAAACCAGTGATTGGGGAAAAAAAAAGAACAACCTAGAAAAAGACATCTGGTAGCAATAGTATCTTTTGATTTGGGTGTCTGAGACCACACTCAGATATACAAGAAGTTGTGGACAAGAAATCTGCATAAGCAATAATACGAAACTGAAAAATCGCAGTAGCTCTTTCATACAGATCCATTTTACCCAAAAGCAGTCCCATTGAAACAGTCATGAGACTAAAGACTGCCTACAGACTAACACCGATTTAATGTATTGAGACAAGCTATGTACCAATCTCATTTTTAAGTGGTAGGACACATCCCTAGATGCTACCACAGAACAGAAGTTAGACATGCATTGGGTTGTTTTAAATCAATACCTTATTACTCACTGTTAGTAGATTGTGCCAGATATGGAATATCTATATGAAATTGTACTGTTTTCAGGGCTGCTAGACAGTGTAACTTTATTCAGAAGTAATATCTTATGTGTGAGATATTACTAGATACTTTGCTTCAATCCCTGCTCAGAACTATATGTTGGATAATAGCAATGGTAGGGCAAGCAGTTTATAGCTAGTACTTCCTTTTTATAATCCTGAATGATCAAAAAGCCTCATTTTCTCCTCGAATTCTCCAGGGCTAAGATAAAATGTTAAGAGTTATTTACAGGGACAAAACTCCAGCTTTGTAACTCTATGCTTGTTCTCTCAGAAACATCCACTGCTTTTCTTGTGCTTTTCCCTGACAGCTATGTCTCCATTCAGCTGTGAAAGAGAGTCTCACTACACGTTTCCAAGAGTGCATGCAGAACATCTGGTGGCTGGCTAAGGCAATACACATTTGGAAATAAAAGAAAACAGTTGCAAGCGCACTTTTAAGCCTGTACATTTAAAGCTGAAGGCCTCAAAATAACATGATGGGTTTGGAGAAAAAATGGGAAGAGCCAATCGGTTGAACACATGCTTACTAAAGCTAAAACATCAATGAAACAATACCATGGAAGATTATACATAACTTCAGTCAGTTCAGGGATCTTATGGCACCTGTGGTTTATAAACAGCTTTAGTAACGAGTATTTCAAAACATAGTTCACAGTTTTAAGAAGATCTGTGCTGATTTAAAAACTAGATTCTATATAATTTGAATGTTGCCATTTGTATATGATATTTATTTGGAAAAAATATTTACACTAACTTCTATGGCTGATTTTTAGATTATTTTGAAAGAAAACATTCCTAAGTTACACGTTAGCCCTAAATTAGAGAGGTTTTTTTTCTTTTACTGCATTTTGTACAAGTCCTTTTATGTAAAGACTTGCAAACAAATTGCAGATAAAGCCTGGTACTTTGCTTTTGGGCTACTAGATATATACACTCAGGAGTATAATCATTTATTGTTAAATGCATAATTGTAGCTTTTTATTTCTTCTGTGGAAAAAATGTACAGTGTATAGTAAACTGTTCTACTAAAATCTCAAAGTATTCAGAAATCAAATTCCTATCTATAAACAGTATTAATATTGTCATTGTAAACGGAACAGGTTCAACATCATGTGCAAAGGGTTTACATGTTTAGTTAGTGCTGCTGTTGTTTTGTAACAGCAGTACACATTTCAGCCTGTGTTCTTCACCGGTAATGAGCCATGTTACAGAAGATGTAGCTAATAAGAGTTAGCTTTAAACAAAAGTCTTTTTCTCAAAACACACACCTACAGACTACAACTCTTAGAACAAAAGTACTGTGCTACAGTCCTCAGAACTTAGTTAGTCATTTGATTTTTTTGTCAAGAGATGCTGCACCTGTTGGTTCCATTCTTCTGTGAAGTTTGCAGCCAGGTTTTCATCATCATCATCTGTTCGAAGGCAGCTCTCCTCATCATCAGTTCGTACATAGCTTTCGTTGTCTGTCTGACTGCAGCTTGCCTGTGAAGCAACATATAGGACCATTTTTCAAAAAGAATGTTGTCTGCTTCCATTTCCTTCCTCACATAGCCTCCCAGAGATTGCTTCCCCCAATGTAAAGGAGGTGCAGACACAAATACATGCAGCCCCTCAGCTTGTTGCAACCTTTCTTGTGTAGAATTGAAGTGGACTGGAGAATCTCACGTTGAATCTCCGTGCTGGTGCATTTCTCTGTGTATGTAAAGCTGATCTGCAATGAAATGTAACCATCTCAAAAACAATGCTGGCCTTCATAACTCAAGCAGGATGCTTCTCTCTGACTCAGCTTCCTTGGTGGTGCTTTTTCCTATTCTGCAGGATCAGTAACTTCTCACACTATGAGAATGGGAGGCTTCCTAGTTTTATTCAGTGATGGGAAAAATGGTAAGATATTTGGAAGTTTTCAGTGCTGCAGAGGAATACCTGAGGGCCTAGGTTAAGGTAGCATTGTAGATGCTTTTGCTTGACATACTGAACCTGGAGTTTTCCCCCTCTTATTTGCACCTCACCACCAAAAGTTCATGGGACCAATTTATCCTTTTTCCTCTGAACTTTCTCAATTAATCAAATCTATGTTACAGTAGAACTGATTGTAACATACTGGACTGGAAAGTATGGATGCAGACCCTCTGCTGTTCATGCCAGATGAAAACTTTGTTCCTAGTTTTAGAGTTAAAATGCAAAATGTTTTGATAAACAAAGAATCTATTAAATATGGTGAACAGAGGTAAGTCAGGGTGAAGTTATATGTTATACTTAGCCAATCCTAAGGGCACTTAAAATGCAAGCATCTGATTGTTAAAGCTTGGTAACCTGTGCTAAGTACCCTCTGAGAGCCTCAAAGTTATGCCACTTCCGGCACGGGTTAACTCTGGCTATGCTAACTAGCTCATGTTAGGGCAACTTCAGTCTGCTCCATGGAGATAAAATGAACAATCTGCAGTCCCCCAGCATCCCAGGATGCACTGCTCCCAGCCCTCTCTCTTCTCCCTCAGAGCAGGACTAGAGCCCAGGTTTCCTAGCTCCTAGCCACACCCCTGCTCATCAGCCCTCTCCTGGCAAGTCCCACCTGTGCAGGCAAGAAGTAGTATTAACCCTTAACGTGTGACTGCACACAGCAGGTGCATCCAGACGTGTGTGGACATTTGGTTCCCTGGGGACAAGTAGAAGTGGTGCACTTTGCACTGCCGCTACTTGTCCTGGGGAATGCCTGTGCCATGCATACTGAGGCACGTGGCAAGTTGCCCTGTGTGGGGTAGAAGAGGCTGGGGCCAGCATTGGGCTGGCCCCAGCAGCCTTATCTGGGGTCCCGGGGCCACAACCATGGCGATTCTGCTGCGTGGAGCTTGGCTCACAGAGGAACACAGCTCTAGGCGGCCCGGCTCCACTTTTCAGCAGCATGTGCTGGCCGAGCGTATGTTGCTTCGTTTTTTTTCTGTGTTTTTTTTTGATCCCTGGATATCCAGGGGTCAAAAAAACCTGCGGAAACGCTCCCCCCAGTGCAGCACATGCTTGGCCAGTGTGCCTTTGCAGCGTGGAGAACACCAGACTGCAGTATGTGGCACTGCAAACATGTCTGCAGTGCCACATACCGCACAACCATGCTCGTCTGGACATACCCAGCATGTTGTAACTAACACTACTTAGCATTCCACAGGTTTAGTATGGTCCAAGTGTAAAGTGTAACTTCCCCTTCAGGTAGTTAGGGTTGTACCTCTTTCTCAAAGTGTTTTAATTATCCTAAAGGAGATGCTTCTGAGAGACTCTTGCAATATCTTGTCATGTCCAAAGGAATTAAAAATGGTATATTGATCTTTATTTCCTTGTTTCAGTCAGTCTTAAAAACTGAACATTAGTTTTATTTGACTGATAAATTAAAGAAAAGTGCATAGACATTAGTGATAAGAAACCTCAAAACCTTTTCAAGTTTACTTTGAATAAACATCTAAAAAAGGATCTAACACTTCTCTGAATCATTTAAACCCACAGACGTTGCTGGAAATCTCATTTAAAAAAATCAGGGCAGGATTTGGCACTTGGCTTCAGATCTGGATAGTGACACAAAATTAAATAGAGGGGAACTGAAGAGGGAAGGCAATTACTTTATTTTTTTTAACCTCTAAATGTTCAGTTTGCATTTGAGGTTGGTGTTTATTTGCTAATTTTAAGACTATATAAATATAGGCATCTCATAGCTCTTAATAGCATCATTATAAACCACAAGAGGCATATATGAATGTTTTATGAGGCAACCAAGAACATTAAGATACATTTATGATTTACTATGTAGCCTTGAACAAGTATTTGTGGGATGTGGAGGGGTCGGTCTAGATTTCCTGGATGTTTGTTTCTGTTGCACACCTAGCATTAGGATGAAGAGGTAGTTTTATACAAGAAATGTCAAATACCAATGAATCTTAGAATTCTATACAGAAGTATTGTGATAATGCCATAATCAATTACAAGCTGAGGCTCAAACAGTTTGTAATAGTGTAAGAGCTTATTCACTGGAGCCTGGTATGTATAATTTAATGCACAGGCTCTTTCCTGTTATTGCATGCATGCCTGTGTTTTTAATAACCCAAGTTTTCAATGTTAAAGTTGAAAAATAAAGCAATGAGGCTATCAAGTTGAAGTTGTTCCTCCCTGTTAATTTGGTCTCATGGTACAGCTTAACAATTCTTACACTAAACACTAATAACAGGGAGCAATATGTTAAAAGAGTTACTTTGGAAAGGAAAAGCAAATGTAGATTGTAGAATGTAGTGGAAACTTTTGAGTCTATTTTACATTGTGAAGCTTAATGTTCCATTTCATGCTATTTTTGCATTTCATGTGTATTTTTTTTAAAGAAAAACATAAGCCTTAAAGCATTTGGCCTTGGGATACTACAAGCTTTACCAATCGAACTTGATTGGCCATTTTCAATGTATCAATGCTGCAATAGCCAGAGTAGAGGAGAAAGAGAATTCTCTCCTTTTACACATTAAAAATCAAAATCTCGGAGTACACGCGCGCACACGCACACACACACACAGAAACTTTCATAGCATCCTGGAAGAGGGATAATATAGGGAGAGGTGTGTAAGTGGAAATAAAAATAAATAGAGGTATGAAATGGATGTATTCCTTAAGAATCCCAGCTATATAAGGGGGAGAGAGACAGACAGAGTGACAGAGTGACAGAGAGAGAGCTATACTTTTCTGTGCTAAAAATAGAACTGGAAATTTCCTGAGCAAAACATTTAAATTATTTACTTAGGCCTAAAAATCAATATGATTTTGCCATGACATGAGAGGAAATAGGACCATGCTGATATACCACATTTTCTTGCCTACAACATACAGACAGTGATGACAGTGGCGGGTCTGGCACTCTGCTGTCCTTCCTCGTGCCCAAGAAGAACAGTGGTGGCACCTGCCATGAGATCCTGTCTAGTAAGGCACTGTACACATGGAAAAAGTACATCATGCTCATGCCCTCACCACCTGCCCTGGAGGCGGTGCCCAGTGGCAGCAATAACAGGGCAAGCCTGCCTGGCCAGGCACTAGGCTGGTGCAAAGTGTCCCGAATTGATTTGGCTCCTGCCAAATCAGCTGAATTTCCGAATCACACAGGCCCCATCCCCCGCCTGCTCTCCCAGCCGCAGCTCCCAGCTCTTTGAAAGAAAAAAGCCACACTTGCCGGCTGCTGCCAGGTGGGGAGGTGATCCCTGCTGCCCCCACTGCCCCATTCTGCATGCGGGGCTCTGCCACGAGCCCCCCAAGCCCCTGCCTGCTCTCCCAGCCGCAGCTCCCAGCTCTTTGAAAGAAAAAAGCCACACTTGCCGGCTGCTGCCAGGTGGGAGGGCAATCCTCACTGCTCCCCACTTCCCAAGACTGCTGCAGTGTAGGGCAGTGGGGAATGCCCCCCCACCCCCACCTGGCAGCAACCAGTCAATGGGGGCTTTATTTTAAACAACTGGGAGCTGGGGTGGGTGGGGCAGCCATGGGGAGGCTGGAGGAGCAGGTGGGGGTTAGAGGCCTGGCAGGGGTCCCCCCATGATTCCCCACCCCCTACTTACCAGCATGGAGTCTGGGTCTGCTGCTGCCAGCGGGGACTGCCTGAATTGCCGAAGCTCTCCAAATCTTTTCCAAATTGATTTGGAGAGCTTTGAATTAATTCGGACCTTTTAATTGGCCCCTGATTCAATTCAGATTCAGAGATTTGGTTGCCAAAACAGGCCAAATCTCCTCCGAATTGAATCAGCATCCTACCTGGCACACACTGAATAAGCTACCCGTTGCCAAACCTCCAGTGGCAACTGCTGCATGGGGCTCTGGCCACAGGCTCTTTTGCTTGCCACTCATTGGCAGCATGCCCTGTCTGCGAGGAGGAGGAGAAGGAGATTCTCTTCCATGCCTTCCTGGACTGCTACCAGCTGCAGCTGCTCTTTGCTGCCCTCAGCACCCTCTTTCGCATACTGGACAGACCTCTCTGAGACTATGTACATCTCTATCCTGTAACAAGTGGCCACAGGGAGCCTCTCTGTCT